CAGGGGCTAGTTTAAACAAGGGGAGTGTTGAACTGGTCTGAATGAGACCTTGCCTTGAATCAGAGAGCCTGTAACCAGGAGACTCTTCTGAACCAGATCACACAGGGTTAAACGAGTGGAGCTTTCCGGGTCCTAGAGCTTCCTACTGCTTGTGGAGAGAGAGGGGGACAGAATTCGGTAGAGAGCTTCCTCTTTCAGAGGCAGTTTGGTCCCCCCCCCACCCCCCCTCCAGCAACAGCAAAAACAACATCTGGCAGTAGAATCTTCCAAGCTGAGTAAAGAGGTGAGTCAGCAATGGTTTTGCAGGTGGATCCTTGTGATCTGAGGGACGTTCTGGATGAACATTTTGTTAACAAGAGGGAAGATGAGTCTTCAAGAATAAGGCAGGTCCATTAGGATGACCCTCAGCATTTGGGAGAAATCACTGGAAATAATGGATGCCCTTCCCATTAAGGGCTCCATGGCCCTAATAATCTTATAATAACACATCACAAGCTAAAAATCTTGAACAGGTCCTTCACAATCTTTAGTTTATTCAGTGAGACAGGTCATTGTTGCCCCCATTCTGCATTTGGGGAGAACTAAGGATATTCCCTGGCTATTGTGTCAATGGATTGCAATATACAGCATTGCTTTAAATGTGTGAAATTACCTTTCTTGAGCAAGCTCACAGATCAAATATCTGCAGTTCATATGCATGTGTCCTTTATTTTTTTTAAAGATATTTTGTTTACCTTCCTTTCTTTAAAAATCCAGAAAAGCCAGTACCAGTATAATCTTATAGTATATCTACTCCAAAGTAAGTATTCAGTGTAGTTTCCAGGTAAGCAGGAAGAGGATTGCAGACAAAATCATGCACGTGCATGTGTGAATCATCTTTAAGACTAAGAAATTATTACCAAGTTAGCAAAAAATACCCCCCCACTGCTGTAATTGCTTAGAATAATATCATGACAAGGCACTTTCATCAAGAGAACATTAGATTGTTCATGGCCACATGTTCTGCTGTCACTTTGCTTGCGGGAAGATACTGAACTACTTGCAGATTGCAACAGTTTGCCTTTAAAGTTGTGAAGAAAGCCTAAAAGCACGTGAGCGGTTGCGATTAAAGTCTCAGGGGACAGAAAGAAAGGTGAGCAATGTTTCCATACCTGCGAGAATGCCACATCCACCTCCCTCACCCCAACACAAGCAGGCAGACAGGTGGCCACGCACACAAACCTATATTGCAATAAAAGTAATTTGTGGCATTGCTGTGATTTTCCGCAAGTTGTCCAATAAGGCTGCAGCAAATTGGTTTCAGAACGGAAAAGGTAATTTTGAGCACATGGCAACTGCTTCAAGAAACTATACTTTCCTGGGCTTGTGCAGCTCTCCCAGGAAAAGGCACATTGGTCCTGAATCATGGATGACCTGAATCATTTCTCTTTCAGTTCCTGATCCTGGTGCAGCTGTTGTTCAATATATATTTCGTTAATTTTGAATTGATATGTAAAGCATAAAGTACGTGCTGTAAGCTAACGGCTCCAGTTTGCTAGATTACAACTCCTGGAATTTGCAGTCCTATGGCCAATGACAATTTGGGGAATTGTAATCCAACACATTTGGAGGAAACCCTCTCAGAAAAGTTATCACAGGCTTTCTCAGTTCTCTGTATTTTCTTAAATTACAAGTCTTCTAGATTCCATTCCTGGACTTCAGCTGATTTCATTCCTGGTCTTCAGTATTTAATTTCCCCTCCCCACGTCAAGGTCCTAGAAAATATTTTTCACCTCATGAAACTTGCCTTCTGTTTCCTTGAAGCAGCTGGGTTGATTCAGTTACTATTTTCTACAAGAAGTCACCATTTTGGTAAACATTTTGTGACACCATAGCCTCAGCCAACAGCTGGAGCAAGAGTTGCATAATAGGAAATTATGATCATTGCATTTCTTTATGCGCAAAGATTTCTAGGTTGATTCTCTCTGCTTCTTTCTCTTTTTCAGAACTAGCTGAGTTCCTTAGAATGGAAGATTGCTATATTGTGTATTGTTGTTGAGCTAACTTAATGCTAGTGAAGATCCAACAGTTCTGGGGCAGGAGATGTGGACTTGATCTGAGCTAAGGCCAATATCAAGGAGAGAAAATAATTGTAATCCAATAAAAATGATAAGACTGACTCTTCCAATGTATCTGCCCTTATGAACAATCCAGAGAGAAAAAAATGGAAGAACCAAACCCAGCAAATCTGGAATCAGGGGAAGGGGCAAGAAAATATTGGGTCATTCAGAATGGGGCAATCAATGAGTTTTTAAGATGGGCCTTGCCACAGCACAGTAGAGTTGAGAGACAGGAGGGAATGACCCCCCATAGAGAACTCCAGTGGCAAGGATTTCTAAAAACAGTAAAGAACTCTCACTCAGGCTGGGCAAATTCTCAGTTGCCAGAGTTGCCACCCTGGGATGAGCTGTCTGTATTTGAGCGGGCGGTTGATGTTTACCAATGGCCACGAAGCGAGGGTATAGCCAAAGCCATGCCAAATCTCAACGGAGAAACCCAGCAGGCCTTTAAGAGTCTTGAAGCCAAAGAAAGGGACAGTTGTGGAAAGGTGAAGGTTCCCATTCTACAGAGAGGGTCTACAAATGTGGAGTTGCAGCGCCAGTACTTCCGTCAGTTCCAATTCCTGGAAGCCAAAGGGCCCCATGAAGCTTGTAGCCGTTTAAGGGAACTGTGCCATCGCTGGTTGGAGCCTGAGAGTCGGACAAAAGAACAGATCCTGGAGTTGCTGATCTTGGAGCAATTCTTGACAATTCTGCCAAAGGAAATCCAAAATGAAGTTCGAGAATGTGGGCCGGAGACCTGTGCCCAGGCTGTGGCCTTGGTGGAGGGTTTTCTGCTAAAGCAGCAAGAGGGAGAAAAACAGGTCAGGTCCTTTAATCAATCTTTTTGAAAAGATTCCACAATTCATCAGAATATCCAAGGATCCTAACATACAGTCCATACATTGTGGGACTGCAGCAACCACAAACTATAAAAATATTAATAAAGTGACTAACCTGTATGTATACCTTTTGTAATTTGCAGAAAATGAATTTGCTGGAATAATCATTCCAGTAGAACAAAATGAAACTATGAAGGGGGCAGAAAAGGAAAGTGTCATTGGAGGGCAGGGGAGTAGGAGGGAAAAAGATATCTCTTTTATGTGGTGGTGTTACCACCTGGAAGTTATGCTGTCTGATGCAGACTGCCAGCCTTGGGTTAACCAACAATAGTAAAATGTACTTTCTGTGCACTTAGAGGCATGTGTGCTATTACCTATGAACACTGAATCTGAAAATGAATCCACATCTGATCCCAAACCTTACTGAAGGATGAACAGCATGTCCTCCACCCCCCACCCCTTTGTGGTGTAATTCAGGGACAAGCTATTTCTTCATGTCTGGTTGACGCACTGAAATAATATAGAAGATACAGAGAAGTGCACCTTGTGGTTGCATAGCAACAGTACACCTATTCCCTCAGGGAAGTGCATCCATAGTTGCCCAGCAACTGCACACAGGGTTTTTAAAGCTCACTCTTTGTAGAAGGTTTCAAGATCTTAGAGGTCTTTCATCCCAGTTTGCTATGAGGAAGGTTCAGCTAGAATGAAGCTGCTGCTAAGGTTCCATGCTAGGTTTGCAAGAAATGACCTGAACGATGGCCAGGCCAGGGCACCATGTTTTCTGTCTGCCTTGGAGTAAGCCAAATCTAGCTGTCTGCTTTAGTTTGCATAAGATTAGTTTACTGCCTCTCTGGAGAGATGTCCGTGCCTTCTGTCATTATTCAGCCCCACTGTAATCCAGGGAGTGTCAGCTAGTTTAAAACTTGATAAAATGGCAAGAGGCACCTCTTGTTGGGCTAGTCTGACTGGACTTCAAAAATTGAGGTGATTGTTAAATGGCAGGAGAGATTCCCAAGATGACTCTAGTGGTTATCTAAATGCTTGCAGTTTAGATATTTTTTTCCTCATTCTTCTTCAAATGAGTGGGAGCTAGAACTTAAAGAACTCCCAAGGATCATGATCCAGGGATTGGGAGGGCTGCCTTAGCTTTTGTGGGTTGTTGTTTTTTTTTCCCCCCTGTCAGTATCAGCATAACGGTTGCTGCTGTTTCAGGTAAGGGGAACAATCCAAACAGGATTCAGCAATTGCTCCAAGGCACAACGACCTCCAGCAAGCATCAGGCCAAAGCACATCTATAAGGAAGCCAGGCAGCAAGATAATGGGAATGCTGGCATATTGGGTAAGGTTGGGAATAGCTGTGCATGATATCTTACAAGAGTCTCTTTCCCATAGGCCTCTCATTGATAACTACACAATACACCACTGTAGTTCTTGCTTTTCAAATACTCAGTGAGCGTAGGCAAAATCAACTGATTTTCTGCAGTATACACCCTCCCCCATCCCTTTATTTTCATATTTTCCTATCTTATTTTTTTAAAAAAAGTTCACAGTCAAATTGTCCAATATATTGACATTATTTTTTTTTTAATGCAATTTCTGGAGTGGTATCTTAGATCTTTTACCAAGTCAAAATATGTAGAAGTTAGTTAAATACTATTTGCCACCTCCAGTCAATGGAAAGCCATTTTTCTGAAGTTCATATGTTGGGCAGTGGTGTACTTTAATAATTGAACTGAGGTGATAAGTTCAAATTATGGAGTTTGTAAAAGTTCAGTGCCATGGTGTCTCACTAAACAGCAATTCTATTTGTGTGCATTAATTTGCTTACGCTGTACTGAACAGTATGTATCGCATTTTACAGATCCATTTTATGGATTTTTTTAGCTAAATGATGTTGAATAAGTTTACTTTGCAAATCTTTTTTTGTTAAGTTCCAAGCATCTTTTTTTTCTTGAGGAGCAGAGTTAATATATAATATTTAAACAGTATATAGATATTTATATTTTACCATATTTTTCCGACTATAAGACGATACTTTTTTCTAAAATCCTTACCCTAAAAATTG